AGAGCTGTGCTGGGGCGGGGCCTTCAGGGAGAACCTCTGCTAGAGCAGTACAGAAGAGAAATGTGGGGTGGAAGCCCCCACGCAGAGTCCCCACTGAGGCACCGCCTAGCGGAGCTGTGAGAAGAGGGCCACTGACCTCCAGATCCCAGAATGGTAGATCAATGACAGCTTGCACTGTGTGCCTGGAAAAGTTGCAGACACACAATGCCAGCCCAGAAGCAGCCAGGAAGGGGGCTATACCCTGCATGGCCACAGAGGCAGAGTTTCCCAAGACTGTGGGAACCCACCTTTTGTATCAATGACCTGGATGTGAGACATGGAGTCAAAGGAGACCATTTTAGAGCTTTGACTGCCCTGCTGGATTTCAGACTTCCCTGGGGCCTGTAGTCCCTTTATTTTGTCCAATTTCTCCCATTGGAATGGCTGTATTTACCACATGCCTGTACCCCCATTGCATCTAGGAAGTAACTAACTTGCTTTTGATTCTACAGGCTCATAGGCAGGAGGGACTTGCCTTGTCTCAGATGAGACTGGACTATGGACTTTGAAATGAGTTGAGACTTTGGAGGATTGTTGGGAAGGCACGATTTGTTTTGAAATATAAGGACATGAGATTTGGGAAAGGCCAGGAGTGGAATGATACGGTTTGGCCGTATCCCCACCCAAATATCACTTTGAATTATAGCTCTCATATTTCCAATGTAGTGGAAGGGCTCTGGTGGGAGGTAAATGAATCATGGTGATGGGTCTTTCCCATCTTTTTTTGTGATAGTGAATAAGTCTGATGAGAACTGATGGTTTCATAAAGGGGAGTTCCCCTACACAAGCTCTCTTACCTGCCACCATGTAAAATGTAACTTTGCTCCTCCTTCACCTTCAGCCACAATTTTGAGGCCTCCCCAGCCACGTGGAACTATGAGTCCATTAAACCTCTTTCCTTTATAAATTATCCAGTCTTGGGTATGTCTTTGCTGGCAGTGTGAGAATAGAACAGGCAATAGCCTTCACAGTGAACAGTTGGATTGGATCTTGACTTTACCTTGAGTTGGGTTACAGCAACGTGCGTGTGTCTTTTTCTTTGAAGAAATCTATTTTAGGGCTTTTGCCTGCCTATCCTCTGAGCTTTTCTCTGCCTCTATTAGAATTTTTAGATAAGAATGGGCTCTGTATTGTGGTTTCCGACCACATAAAGAGCTGCAGTTTATTTGCTCTGGGTTTGGGTCCCAACAGTCAGAAAGGAATCATTCGTAGAACAACCTCATCTCAACCTACATAGCTGCACGTGGCTTCCATGCAAATAGTCCGTCATCCAGCTTTCATTTCCCTTGGTTCAGTGTTATCTGTTCTGAACACTTTCAAATTTGCTTATTTTTCTAATCTCTTCTCTCCTCTTTTGGCAACACCACTCTTTATCTTGTGGTTTTCATCTTTATTACTCACACTTCCTCACAATGAGTGTTCATTAAAATATTTTAAATTAAGATCTTTACTGCCGTTCTAACCGAGCACGTCGGGTCTTCCCGTACAACACATTTTTAATTCTTATCACAGAATTTCAGGCAGTTTGTACATTGTATTCTATTAAAAAGTCTATTCCACTCAAGGTTGTCACAATTCAGAGATTACAGCTTTCTGCAGGATGTTTTGTTAGGGATATATTCATATATTCACTTTGTTAGGCAGCAAGCATGGTCCGCAAGCCTGTACTTCACACCTCATTTGATATTACCATTCAACAAAAAAAAGGACAAAAAGAAGCAATTATTTATTTAGATAATGAAATGGATTTTAGAAGGAGATTAGGTAAGCATGAATTGTCATGCCAAAGTGACAATCCCTGCCCTTCTTAGGGCCCAAGGGAGGTCAAGTACTAAATGTGAAGAAAGAGAAGGAGAAAGAGTGTCCTCTTTCTCCTTTATGAGGCGACGTGATAGTGTCTCATACTTATGTAACTCTGCTTATATAACTACTTCTCTTTCTTCCCCTGTAACCTTTTTTAATCTTTTCTAAAGAGAATGCAAAACTGATTCTCACAGAATCAAAAAGTGATAATCATGGCCCATGTTGCTCTTCAATTTAAAACATTACCACTTGGTCAGTCAAATATATCAACAAAATTCATTTCCTATGCATAGACCAAGGATCCCACCATTATGTACCCAGGCAGTGATTTCTGAGGGCAGGGAGCTAGAAAATCCCATTTGGACTCCCATGACACAACAGCAGGAGCCATGAGGCTAAGGTAACTGGGATGGCACCCGCTCCAGCTCCTGTCCCCGTCAGCACCCGCTGCCCACCTGCAATCCCTCCCCTACCCTCTGCCCACATTCTTCCAGTAGGGCTGGTCACAACCCCTGGTTCTGGGCTGACTGCAGTGATTGGTTCAGGATAGGTACACGACCTAAGTGACGCCAAACAGAGCCAGTGGTGACCAGCCCCGGGACCTGTGCTGGGCCTGGCTGGGGAGAGCAGCTTTCTCCCTGAAGTGACCAAGTCAGCAGATGTTTGCTGGGAGCTGCTAACAGTCATCTTGCCTCCAGGAGGGAAGGGTCTGTCTGAGAAAAAGCCAAACCAGGGAGACAGGTTGCTAAGGATACTGCTTGAGCAGCTGACCCTGCATTCCTGGTACCACGTCACCCCAAAACTTCTCTACCTACAGGGACACAAAGCCACCTGATAAGCCCAGCAACCCAGAGGAAGTCTTCTACTGGGAATAAAAACGCGCAGGGACCCCAGGCAAAATAGAGAATCAAGCTACAATCTTTGACAGAAACCAACTTCAAAGAGTGTGGTAAACATGTGAGCTGACCACCTAGCAGGCGCCCATTCTCCCATTCTCATTCCCTGGCAACAGAGACCATCTCCCACTACAAAGCCTGGAAATAATACCAGATACTCATTTTTCGAAGGTACCCTGTCTCTTGAGCAAAAGCATGGCACCCACTGCATATTGATAAGATCTAAAGGGAAGGCTTCCATGGATATTGTTGGAAAGGTTTTCTTCCCTGGTAAAAAGAGACACATGAGGAGAGACCCCCTCCTTTCCAGTCTTTAGATATCACTGGGTGTGTCTGCGATGCCTGGAAGAGCTGCAGCCATCCTGTGACCATGAGGAACCAAGCTGGAGAGTGACAGTCAGGGCACTGGGTATAATGGAGTGTGCACTATAATGGGCACTGGGTGTTTTCTATAAGACAGAATACGCCCAGGAGACACAGGTGTGCTGCTGGATCCACCATCCATGGCCCCATCTACCCCTCGTTTCTTATGTGAGATGATAAAACCCTCTGCAGCAGCCAATTTTAGGTAAATATTCTATCATTTGCAACTGAAAGCACCTAAGCAAATGTAAAACTCCTAGACTCTCTAGAAATATTAACAACCCAGGATCTAGGAGTGTCTAGCAGGCAGATACAGACTTCCAGGGAAACCACGGGCCAAGTGGGGTTGAAAACCCTGTCGATAGGCTGGGCGCCGTGGCTCACGCCTGTAATCCCAGCACTTTGGGAGGCCGAGGTGGGTGGATCACAAGGTCAAGAGATCGAGACCATCCTGGTCAACATGGTGAAACCCCGTCTCTACTAAAAATATAAAAAATTAGCTGGGCATGGTGGTGTGTGCCTGTAATCCCAGCTACTCAGGAGGCTGAGGCAGAATTGCCTGAACCCAGGAGGCGGAGGCTGCAGAGAGCCGAGATCGCGCCATTGCACTCCAGCCTGGGTAGCAAGAGCGAAACTCCATCTCAAAAAAAAAGAAAGAAAGAAAACCCTGTCGGTAGATGTAGAGAATGATGAGTGGAACATAGAGTTTGGAGTGAGGGGCATCCAGATTACCTGGTCAGCGATTCCTAACAGCAGGCTTTGGACCACTCTGTCTGAGTCACTTCTCTCCCTCTGAAGGAGATCTCCAAAAGCAGGCAGAAGAGGGTTCTAGCTGAGGTTGCCTGGGGTCACCCAAGAAGAGACAGCACTTGCCAGCAACTCATTGGGAAAGACCCTCCATTTCTCATGCTTCCCTCCACCCAGGCCCTCATTCATTCACAGAGGGCCTCCCCTGTTCCTGACACTGCAGGCCTTGAAGAGTTTAAAGATTAGGGAAGAAAGAGAACTAGTTGTGACAATATACTGTGACAAGTAACAGACTCAGAAGGGGCTCGTGTGCTAAGCTGAGGAGTCTGAGCCCCCTCCTGGGAGAAGCAGGAGCCAGAGGTTTTAAAGTAGCAAAGCTGGTTGGCCCTCCAAGTGAAGCAATCCCATAGAAGACTGGTGTTTAATGAAAGAAGAACAACATAGAGGCAGACTTTGTAGGGAAGGCAGTTGCAACACAGGTGAGAGCTCTACCTGCCAGGTGTCCTGATGTGAGATGACCAATGACAACCTCTCTGTGGGTCCCAGGTAAGTTCAGCCCTGTAAAGCCCAAGGCTGGTGTCTGAACGGGAGAAGACAGGCTGCCTTCCAGCAATGCCAACTTCATCCAAATTAAGATTCTGAAGCCATGTGCCAATTCCCAAGTGTGGTATCAGCAAAATGACTACATTTCAGCACTAAGGGATGAATGCCCAATAGCTAAAGCTACCCTTGGTTTGCTTATTACAAAGTACAGTTTCCCCTTGCCTCTTAAATCATTTCTATTTCCTCTCATTTCCTTCTTCAGCTCTTCTCTGCAAACAATAGTGATAATAAAAATAAAAATTGAAAACACGGTTACCAAACTCTACACTGTGACAAATCTGAACTCTGGTGATTTTTGAGACTGCCGACCTCATTAGGTCATTTTTGTATGAAGAGCATTGAGGATAGAAGCCTCGTACCGTGGTACATTCCAGTAATGGAGCCATTCAGAAGCGGCACGGCTGAGCTACGCTGATGAGCACAAAGGAAACCATTTCCCACTAAATGCAGAGGCATCGCTTTATCCACACGCACATTATTTTGCTATGAGTTCTGGCAGCCACTCCCTCCTCCCCACTGCCAAGGTGCCTTGGGGATCTCCATGCTTACCTGCTCTGCATGTCCGGGCGATGGCCCATGCAGGTGAGGGTGGCCGACGTCTGGGTGTCGCCATTATCAATTTCTTCCTGGACCGCCCATTGGTCCTCACTGCTGACTCTCACTGCCATTATCTTCACACCTGCTGCCGCCTTAATCCTGCAGGGTGGGAAAACAAGATATTCTATATAATAAAACCACTTTAGTTTGAAACAGGCAGTCAAACATGGAACAGATCACCCGGAAAAGCACCTGTAACATCGCCCCCTTCCTCTGGGGGGTGTGGGGAAGAGCAGTGGCAAGTGACTTTCCCTTAAAATTAAGTGTCTTGTAATGTTTACAAGTGCCCGGAAGTAGGAGCCCCAGCTTTTGCCATGTGTGTTCATTTTCTATTTAATCAGTGTGCTGGGAACCAGATCGCTTGCTGCTTCAAGGGGACCCCAGCATGATACAAATGAGACAGATGCCTCTGGGCAGGAGAGATGAATCTGCAAGCCTGCTCTTCACCTGGAGATGGAGAAGAGTCTTTAAGATGCGGGGGTGGGTCATGCAAGGCCAGAGGATCGCACAGCCCAGGGGATGGAAGAGGAGGCCACTGCACTGGGCACTCGGGGAGCAGGAATGGACGGAAGCACTCAGTCCTCAGGTGTTTAAAGAACAAACGTGGCATTCAGAAAGGCTAACATGGCCAGGTGCTGCCTGGTACAATGTTCACAGAACACAGTTCCACCAGGAAGAATCAAGGACCCAGGTGTGTTGCCATTGAGAAAAGGCCAAGGAGAGTTCACACTCTGGGTTTCTTCCTTTTGTACACTGATCCTGAAATGATCCTCACATTGCTACTAACCAGAAAACGCCTCCTATGTAACAGCGGGGACTTCACGGACAACATCCATGTTGTCCCAGGGCCACCTGAGGACTTGGCCCAATGCTGTGTATGCCTCTGGAGGGTCACCAGGATGAAGGCAGGCTGTGGGGCACCCACTGCTTACTGTGCCTTAACTGAACATAGGTATCACCACAAAGGCATGCTGGGACTTCTGGGGATGTAAACCAATGCTGTGAACTAATGCAGCATGTGAACTAATGCTGCAGAGGCCAGCGCATGCTGGGCTGGGAAGGTGACCAGATCGCCTCTGCTTCTCAGAGGCCTGTGGGCCCACAAGAAGGGCCCACTGAGGCCCTGGGCACCCTCTCCCATGAACAAAAAAGGCATACCAAAAGCAGCTGAGTATTATGTGGAGGAGTTAGAGGAGCACCAGCAAAGGCAGGTACATTAAGCCAGACATTCCAGCACCATCAAGGAAAGATTGCTAGAAAGCAAAGATTCCCTCAAAGATCAATTAATCAAATCCACACATAGCAGCAGGTCTAGGACATCATGTAAAAACAAGCGTATGAAAGGGAAAAGACAACCTACAGACTGGGAGCAAATATATGCAAAGTCTATCTGATAAGGGCCTAGCATTCAGCATATATAAAGTACTCCTACAAAATCAACAACAAAAGCAAATAACACAATTTAAAAATAGGCAAAGATCTTGACTAGACTGTTCTCCAAAGTCATACAAATGGCCAATAAACACATGAAAATATCCTCAACAACATCATTAGTCATCAGGGAAATGCAAATCAAAACCACAGTGAGATACCACTTCATACCCATTGAGATGGCTAAAATAAAAAAAGAGGTAGTAAGTGCTGGTGAGGATGCAGAGACATTGGGACCCTCACACACTGCTCCTGGGAATGTAAAATGGTGCAACCACTGTGGAAAACAGCTTTCTAGTTTCTCCAAAAGTTAAACATAGAATTACCATATGACCCAGCAATTCCACTCCTAGATGTATATCCAAATGGATTGAAAGCAGGCACTCAAATGAATACTTGTACACTCATGTTCACAGCAGCACTGTTGACAATACCTAAAGGACTGAAGCAACTCAAATGCCCATCTATGATGGATGTATAAATAAAATGTGGCCTAGCCATACAATGGAGTATTATTCAGCCATAAAAAGGAATGAAGTTCTGACACACGCTACGTGATGAACCTCGATAATGCGATGCTGAGTGAAAGAAGCCAGACACTAAAGGTCACATAGTATACGATTGCATTCATATGAAACATTCAGAAAGTAAATCCATAGGGATAGAAAGTCGACTGGTGGTTTCCAGGGACTGGGGAAAAGTGAGAATGGGGGAAATGGGGAGTAACTGCCTAGCTAATGGGTACTCAGTTTTCTTTTGGGATGATGACAGTGTTTTGGAAGTAAACAAAGATGGTGGTCGAACAGCACTGTGAATGTACTAAATGCCAGCGAATTGTTCACTTTGAAATGGCTAATTTTATGTGATCTAAATTTTACCTCAATACAAAAAAGAAAATGCGAAAAAAAAAACCCCCACAGGTGAATAATGACCCCTCCCAGGAGTGACTGATACTTTAAAAAATAAAATGTATCAAAATCAAATCAAAACACCTGTAAGACCCAAGGAAGGCAGCCTCTTATGGCAGAATTTAAGCAGCAGAGAGAGATTCTGAAACCTGAGGGGAAGCTCCAATTTTACCACCAACCATAAGGAACCCTGCGGGTAGAATTAGGGGATTCGAATGTCTGCACATCTCATTAAATAAAATGAAACGTTTCTGCCTCCCTTTCTCCCCTTACTGTAGTTCTTTACACAGACTCCAAGACATCTTCCCGGTTGCTCTTGCACACCCCAAAACAGTCACTGCAATGCCCGGAGACTCAGATGTCATGCCTTGCCCTGACTTGATGATTCTTCCCGTTGAATTCTGGAGTCCAAATCTGCGGCTTTCACAAAGCTTTCCTTTCTTGCCATCATGATGTTCCGGGAATTAATTTATGCAAACCACAAATAGAGGCATCCTGTTCTGTCCCTGCCCCCAGCCATCCCATCTTCTTGCCAAAGGGGCAACTGCAGAGAATGTTCCAGAGCCGTCTAGAGAAACAGAGTCCCTTCCGCTGTCCGCACCCCGCCTCCTTCCTATCGGTACTTGCTACCACAACAGCTGTTCTCACTCTCCCACAGAGTTCTTTCACCAAGCAGCCGTGCAGCCCGGACTGTCACCCTTGTTCTCAACGTCCAGATGAACAAATCAGACCCTCCCACCCACTAGCGTGCCCCCGGCTGAAGGTCACACAGCTGGTTCTGGCAGAGCCAGGATTCGAAACCAGAGCCCCTCACTCCAAACCCCACTCCCTTCCCTCCCGCGCTGGCCCATTCACAGAGGATGTCTTATATGACCCACATTGCATCATTTATTGCCTAAGAAATGCTTCAGTAATTAAGTCTAGAGACAACAGTGTCTTGCATTTTTAGCTCCTTCATGGAGCCCTCATTGCCAGGCCTCTCTCCCTTCAGTCGTGGAGGTATAGATACTACATGTACCCACTGAAGTCTCCTCCATGAGATTTTTGTGTATCGTTCCTTCTTTCATTCTGACCCAAAACTAAGACACAGGTCCCCTCGTCTTTAGAAGCCTCCTCACTCATCAGCTCTGAATTGCTCCGTGGGATTCTGTGCACAATGCTTCCTGCACTGGGCTTCTAGTCTCTGGTTTATCCCGACAGACACTATCACAGTGGGCAAACTCTTCCTCAGAGTCTGAGAAGCAGAGTGTCCAGTTCGAGCAGACAGTCCAAGTCTTTCACAGGGCATTTGCTAGCACGGGGGTGCACCCTGGCAGGGGCTGAGGAAACACAGTGCTTGCCATTAATTTTTACGCACTGGTCCTAAACAGGTCCAGGGGACTTGAGGAAGGCGGGGAGGCAGGACCTGGGACAAGCCAACTGTTAGCCAACAAATGTCAACATTTTAAAGTATTTTGGCAGCCAGCATGGCATTCCTTCCCAGTTCCCACAGGCTGCACATCAGGACTATCAGGACTGCTTCCCCTTAGTGAAGTTATTAAATCTGAATACAAGCAGAGGAAAGACCAAGGTGGCCTCTCCGGGTTGCTGTGTGGGTGGGATGATCGGCCCCATGATGCCACAAATGCATTTCTGGCTAACTGCTGCTAAGCTCTCACAACGGCAGCCAGCCCTTTACTTCCTCCGGGTCAACTGGGGACCAGATGACAGCCCATCCCAGCAGCCATCCGTTTACTTTCCTTCCCAGAGGCAGGGGAGCCCACACGTACCCTTCAGGTTTGGCCAGCTGGGCATCTATCCCATCCCATCTCTCAGCTTCACTCCCTGACCACCCCACTCCACTGTCCACATCCAAGCACCCCACTTGGCATTGGGGCTCAGGACACAATTATTTTTTTTCGCTGTCCTCAATCTTCCCACCCCACCTAGGAATGTTGGGGCTGCCCCCCTGCTCCTGTGCACACCACAAGCACTGCCACCAGATGCCTCCCTACGGGACAGGGCTCCTCGTGTTCCAGTAGCTTCCCAGGATCGCAGTCAAGCCACACCCAAGAGGGTCCCTTGCCGAATTTGCAATCTGAAAAACAAGGGGATCCATAAATTCCACTGTGGCTGATTTCCAGGCCACGAGGAAGTCTCCAGAAACCAGTTGCCCATCTCAGTCCCTCTTCCCTTGTGGCTGGCTCATTCTAGGGCCCAGCAACTCTCCAAAGAGTAGACTTTCAAGATGCAAAAGTGCCCTCCAAATGGCAGTAAAGGCAACAGGCATCTACTGATGCCGAGGAGAGCCAAAAGTCACATATTAATGCTCTCCATAAGGGCTGAAGCCAAAACAGGACCGACGCACTCCAGGACTGTCTTCGTCTTAACTTGTTGATTATTATTCTTGTTAGTTATCATTATCACTATTATTATTAACAATCCACTCTGGTGTGTTCCCTTGTGCAGTACAAAAGTCAAAACACTTACTCAGCAGAATGGCTACACTGAAAAGAGAGAAAAGAGCAAATAGTGGCATACCCGTGGAGTGACTGGGAACTTGTGAACATTGCTGGAATGAGTGTAATCTGGTTCGACCTCTTTGGAATGCTATTTGGTGATACCTACTAAATCTGAGTTTCTGTAGACCCTGTAACAGCATTGCCATCCTTGGCTTATGCCCAACAGAAACAGGTGCATCTGTTCACCAAGACACACATACAAGAAGGCACATGACAGCCCTGCCCTCAGCCCAAAATGGAAACAATCCCAAATGCTCAT